TATTTTTTTAAAGATCCAAATTAAAAAAATTTATATATATATATGTGTGTGTGTGAGAAATAAATAGTTGGCCAAGTGGCCCGAGCCCCGGGGATGCTTAATTAAATTATTGTCCAGAAGGTAGGGGTTCAATTTCCTCCCCTCCCATGGAATCTAATTTATGATTAATAATAATAATAATAATAATAAATATCTTTTAAGACTTGTTTAATTTGAAAAAAGAGATAAAATATTTTATTTAGATAAAAAAATAAAGGGAAGAAGAAGAAGGAAGGGATTTTCTCTTATTTTACTTTATTTATTTCAACTTTAGTATATATAGAAATGAGGAAAGAGAAGAGGGGAATTGTTATCCTCAGACCAAACAAATAGTTAGATTTATCACATTAAAAGTTTATCCATAAGCCAAACCCAACTTCCCTTAACATTCCTAATTTAGTACTTTTAATGGTAAGCTATACAATGGGTAGGGCTTTTCCTCTAACTCCTTACCATTCATTCTTAAACTAAATTAAAAATTTCTAATATGATAACTTAAAACCGTTTTAACTACTAAATTAACTCCCTTAAGTGAGAACTTTCCTCTTTTAAATGTGGGTGTTTGTTTCATTTCATTTTGATATATGTGAATTAAGTAATAGATATAAAAAATTATGTAATTTTAAATTAATTAATTTGTAATTAATTTTAAAAATTATAATATTTCTTATCACTATACTATTTCTTTACTATTTACAAAAAAAAAAAGAGTCTTAACCACTAAGGCTTTCCCATGGGCAAATTCAGCCACATCAAGTTCATGGAAAGTTGCAGCAGGCCTAGATGAAATTCAATTTCAATCCAATAAATTGTTACAGGGACCTTTCAATAATGACACCTCATAATCACTGCAAGTGACAGCAATGGGTTTCTTTTCATTTTTACAGTAAGGGAAAGAGAAAAAAAGGAATCAAGAAGTACCTTCCCAATCCCATCTTACTCTCTTTCTGGAATAATGGGTCAGCGGTGTATTTCCCATTCAAACCCAAACCAGTAATTTGTACGAAAAATTCAATGATAGTCACAAACAAGTTGGTGAGGCAGCAGTTCAATTATAAAGTGAGTTGGTTTTGGTCATGGTGATGTTATAATTAAGTTACTCCCACTACTAAAAGTTCAATTTCAACCCTTAATCCACAAAATTAAGTTTCCAATATGGGACTTTTTCTAGTTTTTGCCAACCATCCACCACCGTTGAGTAGCTTGATACCACTACTGGCGTTTAAAAATAGACTTGGACTCTTTTTCCCTGAATCTGGATAATTCCAAGTCCTCATCAAGCAGCATCTTTTTTCTTTATTTTGGTTGATCAGCTTTTCCTTCCTTTTTTTACAAAGACGATACCTTATGAATAAGCAAATTTAAGACAGCCACACATATCTTGTAGGATTCTGAAATAAAGTTTGATATTTGTGAAAATATAGGGTTAATGGCCGACATGGGAACCAAGTCTTGGTATCCTGCTCCTTTCAATAAAGTTGGAAAGATTGATTTGAAATATCCAATGATGGGTTTAAGGCCCATGTTTTAAAGATCCAATAATGGTGCTGAGCTAGTGAGCTGAGTGCTGACCAAAATCTAGGCCCATATAGTCCATTTAAGCCCTTACTATTTTGTGGGATTTTTCTAGGCCTGCTAATTTTGTGGGCTTACGTTAATAGTGTTAAATCAATTGGGTTTAAGTTATTAGTAGTATTAACTATTAGACCTTTTAGGCTATTGATTTCGTTGTTAGTCTTGCATTTGGCCCTATTACGGTCCATTATTTCTTCGGCTTCCCGAATCACAAGTACGGCTAGGGATTGAGTACTTTGTTTTGTAGTCTAGTGAAATTAAAAAGGAAAAAGAACACTAACGATCTGTTGATTCAAATGGAAGGAGTTTGATTCCTTTTAAGTAAGATCTCAAGTTTATGTTTTGTGAATAGAGAAACGGACGTTTGGAAGGTTTCTTCTCTAATGGGGTTCAATGCGACTCGATTCCAGATTAATCGAGATTCAATGCGGTTATCCAATATCGAGAAGTTAATACAAAAAAAAAGAAAAGAAAAGGAGCCGCTCTCTTCTAATAGTTTAAACAATATTTTTTTTTGAATTAGTATTTTGGCAACTTGTTTCTCCACCACCAACAAACCAAAGTAGTTGTCCGTGTCAATTTCCTACAAGAAAGGTTAGGCCATGAAAAAACAGATCGCTAACATAAAGACACCTTCACAGTTTTTTTTCCTCTCCTATCAAACCAAAAATAACGAATCATAAACCTTCTCTCTTCACTCCACCCAATGAGTTGGTTATCCGTTATCCTCTTCTTCTTCTTCTACCTTTCACCATGCCCCACGAAGAAACCCTAATATTAATTCAACTAATCTCAAAACCCAGATCATATCAATTTATCTCCTTCTTCCTACCAAATTATATTCTCTAGCTCATCACCATCGTTCTCATGGATTTTGATGATCATGGACTCTGATTTGCAAAGAAGACTTTCTGTAGGTACTGATCCTGACATCGACGATCCTAGGTACACAAGTTTAAGAGATATTATTTTGAATTCACCACCAAGCCAATCTGCTATTCAAGAGGGGAGTGAATTTGACTTGTCGAAGATAACCATTAGAAATGAATTGGTTAAATTCGCAGCCTCTGCATATCTTCAGTCCGCGACAATTCTTGTTCCCAGGAATGAGAATTACTTTGCTAAATATTGGTGGAAGCTAAGGAATGACGCTGCTACATCGTGTTCATGTTGGAACGTTTACTTCAAGGAGCCTTTGAAGGCTTGTTTCCACCAAATTTATAGGTTTGTTTCGTATTTAGGGGACGTTTGGAATCGAATAACATGAAGTTATACATTGATCTTCGTATTAATCATGTTCCTGAGATGGATTTATTTGTTGTTTTCTTTTACAATGCCGACGGCCACTGTGATTTGTAGATGATAAGTTAATTTACTCCCAACTCTATTTGAATGTAGTATTTGTTAGCATGATTTTTCTTTTTAATTATTATCTCGCAGATTGTTATTTTCAAAAGTGATTATAATTTATGTTCTCCATTTTTTTTTTCAAATTAACTTGACTTCAAAAATTGTCATTTGTAATTAAATGTACAAAGGTTAAAAATGAAAATTAATTATTACCATAATTAATTAATTTATTACATTTAATCAGTTCTACTAGGGTGCAAATTTACTAAAAACAATTCTATTAGATTAATTTATATCATTCTATCATGTATTCTCTATCACGTTTGCATTTTTTAGTGTAAAAAGATACATTCTACAAATTCTTCTTGTTTAAATAAAAATAAAATGAATAAGGATTCATTGTTGCATTGTAGTCCAAATCATAAAAACAAGAACTATCCAATAAAAGAGTTCGACTCGACCCTTTTTGTATTTAAAATATTCTGTATAATTTACACCTCATAATATTCTTTTAATAAATAAAAAAGAATTTTACCATATGGTATCTTTGACCAATAAAAGGTAAATGATTAAAAAAAGAGAAAGATCCAATGGTTGAAGTCGAATAACAGAATCCTATACATGCAGCAGCATCGGCATAATCTGACGGCGTCACTGTCCCCAACGAAAGCGATACACTGACCGTCAGACGACGGCGTTTCAGTCTCCCCACTGTCGGCTTGTCGGTCTTCCCCCTTCCCCCTTTTCATGAATCCTCCCTCCTCTCTCTCCTAAACCTTCCCCCAATCCCTAAACCCCCTCACAAACCTCACGCGATTAAACAATCCCATAAAGAGCAAAAAAATTTTAAAAAGTAAAATAAAAAAATAGATTAACTATTAATTTTGGTTTTTTAACTTAAAGTTTTGTATAATTTTTATTTTTTAATTATAAAAAATATATTTTTTTAATTTTTTATTAGTTAATTCATTAAATTTATTTAAATCTGTAAATTTTTAATTTCTTAACTTTAAATTAAAAGATAAAAAATATACATATATTAAAAATTAAAAGACTAAAAATATGTAAATTCAAATAAATTTAATAAATTAACTAAAAAAATATTAAAAATATATATTTTTTATAACTAAAGGACAAAAAAGGGCAAAGAAAAATTAAAAAATAAAATTATGTAAAATTTTAAAACTGAAGGATTAAAATTAATATTTAACCAAAAGAAATAAACATCTCTCCTCTCCTCCTCTCCTCGACCTCCACTCCTCCCTTTTGTCCCATGTGATTCGTCCACAATTTTTCCTTTCTTCATCTGATATTGGCGTGAGTGCCGAATCCTTTTCTGTTGGGATTTTTCAGTACTTCCCTGCTCGGGTCCCACTTTTTAGGGTTCGTTCAACATATGTATCTGATGTGTTTGGTTTCCGTCTTTGACTGGCGCGTGTAATGTTGAATGCTATATTGCCATCCCCCTTCTGTTTCTGTGTGTATATATATATATATATATATATTCTTCAAAAGCAGCACAAACCCAGCATCTTTGTCCTCTGTTTCGCCCTGCACGTCAAAGTAAGGCTTCGCATGCCTCTAAAGTTGAGTCCTTACTCTCTCCGTACACTTGGAAGACATTGCTACCACTCTAGCCAGTCAGATTTTGCCGGTGCTACCAGGTTTTATATTACTATTTTATTTATCTCTCTAGGCTTCTTTCTTACCGCTTGTTTTATATAAATTACAAAACTTCTATCCCATAATACCCACTTTGTGTTTTTATCATATCATTCTTCATTGTTCCATTGAATCAAAAAAAGAAAGAAGTTTTAGAATTTGAAGTCTCACTTCTTTGACTTAGCATCAAAATTGTTGAAGAAGCTATAGCTAGCACCATGCAGGTTGCAGAAAGGAGTGGGATTCGGATGGCGACCAGTGTGACAATTGATAGTGAGGCGTCCGCGGCGTCCGCGGTGAAGCTGGAGAATCCTTATCAGATAGTGAGGCAGCTGGCTTCTAGCAATGCGGTTGTGTTGTTCAGCATGAGTGGGTGCTGTATGTGCACTGTGGCCAAGCGGCTTCTCTTCAGTCTTGGAGTTGGTCCTACCATCATTGAGCTGGATCACCATGATGCCGGAGCTGATATCCAGGCGGTCCTGTTCCAGCTCGCGGCGGAGGGCCAGCAGCACGTTCCGGCAGTTTTTGTTGGGGGCAAGTTCCTTGGTGGGATTGAAACTCTCATGGCTTGCCACATCAATGGGACACTGGTGCCTCTCCTTAAAGAAGCCGGTGCACTTTGGCTGTAACTCAGATGGGGATATCACCGGAATATTGTCAATCAAAGATCATGCACTAATCAATTAACATCTTTACTTTTAGGTTTAGTTTTGCTTTCTAAAAAAAAAAAAAAAGTATTGCTTCAGCTTTCTTTTCTACAGTCTTATCTGTTACAATCTGATACATAGGGTGTGGCTGTACAGGGTAGTACTGGGTGACGACTTTGGGTGACTGAAGCTTTGTTAATTTTCTTTGCTTTTGGCTGTTTAGTACCTGTTCTAACTATAAATCAATAGAATATTATAGTTATATATGTTGGGTTTATTTACAAATTTATATATCTTGTTCTGGCTTACATGTCTTCTCTTCTTTGCATAATTTTATTTCTGTACTAAATTGTTTTTTCCATTTACTTGATAAAGAAAAAAAGAAAAAGAAGAAAGAAAGAAAGATTGATGCCTTAAATTTGAAGCGTACACCATAGAAAAGTGTGAGCCAGCCACCGGAATATATTCTGCCGGCGTGGAATATAAATGACAGGCAAAGCACCTAAAGATCTGAAAATTAATAACTAAAAATGGTGACACACATTATGCATTTATGCTCCGTACGTGCATAAATGCCAATATAGCATGCCTTGAGACAGAAATTACTAATTAATCAACATGGTTTAAGGATAAGGAAGGGTCAACAGTACTAAGCGTGCTAAAAATACATTATTACTAAGCGTGAGGTCATTAATTTATTAAGGTGTTAAGCCATAATTAGCCAAATTTGGTACCTACTTCCAAATGGCCTTAACTTGCCAAGCCACTGGTCTAGTAATAATTAATATTTTTTTTCCAAGTGAAAAAAAAGGGGTTTCTTGTGGGTTTGAATCATATGTTTTGCTAGTGGGACTGAGGTTAAATGATGGGGGGAGCGTTTGCTTGCCACCTATTGTGCAATTCAAGATTAAAAAAAAAAAGACCTTAATTTAAAGTTAAGGTCATGTAATAGATAATTAATTAACGCCAACTTTAATTCTTTATCATTTTTTTTTTAAAATTGTGTTAGAATGTGGAAAACCAAATGATGAAACAATAGATAATTGTAGAGAAAAGATCAGATTGATATTATTGCTGCAGAGATTGTGGAGTTTTGGATGAGCTACACTTATGTTACTATTTTGGATAAATAACAATAATTGATACACATTTTTGTGCAAAACACTTATTAATAAATTATATTTTTAAAATTTAAATTTATGACAAAATAATTTTAATTACAAAATTTAATAATCAAACTAGTAAATGTTAATGAATGTATTGAATTAAAGGATATACCAACTATTTTCTTTGGACAAATTTATTTTGTTACCATTAATATATACATTATCCTATATGCATTGTAGCTAGGGCTTATGATTGTATATGATACGGTCTCAGAGAGTCAGACTCATTGAAAGAGTACGGCGTTCACATGAAATTTGAAAAAATTTCCCCTTGCCCTTTTTGTTTAACTTACATGATCTGCTTAATTTGTTATGATTCAAAAAATAATTTTGCCACAACCACAAGTGAATTTATATGTATTAATGTTTTTTTTTTTCTCAAGTGTACGTAGGTGTCAAAAAATTGAAAATAATAAGACAAAAAAAGCACATATTTAATTAAGAAAAAGAAAAGAAAACAAAAATTAAAAAACTGCAATAGTGCATATATGCTTTTGTCATACTATGCCACCTCCGGTACAATACATCAGATTTCAGAAATTTGTTTGTTATATGTTATGCTGGCAACATTTAATCAACTTTTTTAAATTGAATGCTAATAATTAACTATTGTTGTTCATAAAAACAAAAAATTATTACTATTATTTTTAAGTATAAAATTTTTTAAT